AGAACTTGAATTAGCAAAAGAAGCAAATATTCACTGTCCTGGAAAATAAGGAAGCAAGAAGTAGCTTTTGTTTATGAAGAGTTGATTGGTCTGAATAAATTTGATGACTTTTTGATGAAATCACAAAAGAAATACATCCCAAAGCACTGTAGATTCAATGCTTTGATGATAATAAACACTTGAAGCCATATGAATTCTCTTCACTATATTAATTTAAGATGCTTAAATAATACAAGTCAGCTGAGAATTTTCAACTGAAGGAAAAACAGAGATAGGTTATTTAAGGAAAAGATACAAGTTGGCAAAAGCTATAGGAATTGGAGGTAGGACCAACTGAATCACAGTGATTTAGAAGTGGGTTTATACTGAAAAACTAAAATTTCCCAAGTACCTGAATTTTTAGTTATAGCAAATGTGAGAGTATATGTAAATACTAGAGGAAAATGAGGTGAGATCTTGGAAAACACGAATTGTCCAGAGGGAAAAAAAAGACTTGATCAATGCTGAGTTCAAAATTGGGCAGAAATCTGTAAAGTGGTAACGATATTTCGGAAAGTCTGCATATGGATTGGAATGGAGGGAACAGACAAGGCAGGGTCTTTAGGAATAATCCATTGAAAGAGTTGACAGTTGATATGGTTTGGCTCTGTGTTCCCACCCAAATCTCATCTTGAATTATACTCCCATAATTCCCACATGTTGTGGGAGGGACCAAGTGGGAGATAATTGAATCATGGGGGCAGTTTCTCCATACTGTTCTAGTGATAATGAATACATCTCACAAGATCTGATGTTTATTATGAGGGGCGGTTTTCCTGCACAAGCTCTCTTTTTTTGCCTGTCACCATCCATGTAAGACCTGACTTGCTGCTCCTTGCTTTCTGCCATGATTGTGAAGCCTTCCTAGCCATGTGGAACTGTAAGTCCAATAAACCTCTTTCTTTTGTAAATTGCCCAGTCTCAGGTATGTCTTTATCAGCAATATGAAAACAAACTAATACAACAGTACAATATGACAGTAGAGAATTGTTCCTACCCAATTAATGTATCATTACTGCATTTAAAATGTTTGTAATGAATGCAGCAAAAATGTCAAAGCCCAACCTGATTATTAACAAGGTTGTATTTTAAATTGTGATTTTCAGTGATATATACCCTATTTCTCTCCAGGTTACACACCCCACACAATTGAAGAGAAATCAACAGAAAAATTAGATCTTTCTCCAGTAGTCCAAAGAGTATTCAAAGGTTTGGGGGACTCTCCTAGGGCTGCTTCTGTCTTGCTCTGTATCCCCAGTGGTAGGTTTTCCTTGGCCTGATGCTCTATGAACCCAAAGTTCTCCTTTTAGAAGTACATCTAAATGCGAGTATCTCAATCATGCCTCAGGTGGTTTCATTTTTTTTTTTTAATCACCCAAGATCTCTTGATTTCTAGTATGAAGCCATAATATGCGAATGTTCTAGTCTTGTTTTGCAGGACAACATCTTCAAAGAGACTATAGGGGTCTGTGGCACATCTGAGCCAGAACCAAACACCTGATGTCATTGTTACAGATATAAAAGTAAAGAAATGAAAAGAAGCTCCAGGTATTGATGATTTTTATATCTTATACTGTCAATCTGTTTGTGTCTGTTATTACTTTTTCAAGTACACAAAACTGATAAATATGAGACCATTTGGGGGAGGTTACACAAAAATAAGTATGCCTGTTGGCCACAATATGTTATTAAATAGTATTGTGGTCCTTAGCGTTTCTCAAATTATTGATGATGCTTCCTACATTACAGCATATGTTTTCACAACTCTTTGAAATTATAGACTTTTGGCTGTGAGGTATCTAATCCAACAGTCTCTTTTTACAGATAGAAAGACAGAGGCTTTGAGAGGTGCAATAGGTTGGCCCACAGCCAGGTGGTATACATACCTAGTACTAGCAGAGCCTGCAATAGGGTTCCTGGCAACTGGCTTCTAGGTCCATCCTCAAAATGTGCTGCTGCCATTCTCTCTACTGTTCACCTTGACTATTGTTACTGGCAAAAGAAGTTTGAAAAATAGTTGTCTAAAAGAGCAATTTGTGTGCACATATGGGTGTGTATTAGCATTTCAAATAACAATCATCAATAGATATCCAAGGGATAAATACATTTCCTCTTCCACTTGCTTACTACATGCTTGTGTACTGAAAATTTAATATTTGAATAACCAAAAAAATTATCTTTCCATTTGCTACTCTGTCCTGACAATATTACAATGAGCTGTATTTTATGTAAACCACTGAAGATGACTTATTTTAATTAGTCATTCAGGTTTTATATCATTTGTGGCCAATGTTACACAGTTTAAGTTATTTAAAATATAGCTATATGAGATTCAACATTTACCAGCATTTCATATTTGTAAACTATTTAAGAAATGAAGTGGCCGGGTGCAGTGGCTCATGTCTGTAATCCCAGGACTTTGGGAGGCCAAGAGGGGTGGATCACAAGATCAGGAGATAGAGACCATCCTGGCTAACACGGTGAAACCCAGTCTCTACTAAAAATACAAAAAATTAGCCAAGTGTCATGGTACACGCCTGTAGTCCCAGCTCCTTGGGAAGCTGAGGCAGGAGAATCGCTTGAACCCAGGAGGCAGAGGCTGCAATGAGCCGAGATCAGGCCACTTCACTCCAGCCTGGGCAACAGACCAAGACTCCATCTCAAAAAAAAACAAAGAAAAAGAAAAAAAGAAAAGAAAGGAAGGAAGGAAGGAAGGAAGGAAGGAAGGAAGGAAGGAAGGAAGAAAG